TACGATAATTTTACTTATTTTTTTATATTTTACAAAGCATTTACTATATGAACTCGATTTTCTTGTTGGATCCATCCCACCCGAAACTCGTTTTTCTTGTTGGATCCATCCCGCCCGATAGTTGTTTAAGGTTCAACATTGAATCCATCCCACCCCATAGTTGTATAACTTGCATCCATCCCACCCAATAGTTGTGTAAGGTTCAAATAGTTGTGTAAGGTTCAACTTGGATCAAGGTTTAACTTGGATCCATCCCACCCGTATTTGATAATATCCATCCCTATCCCACCCCATCCATCCCTATCCCACCCCATAGTTGTTTAAGGTTCAACTTGGATCCATCCCACCCATAGTTCATAATATCCATCCCACCCCCAATTTGTTTAAGGTTCAACTGAGCCATCCCGTGCTGCGGGGCAGCTCCGGATCTACTCGATGCGTTTCTGCCCATTTGCCTCGCGTTCACTCCTCGTTCTCCTCGCGAAAGAAATTCCGTAAGTCACTAATGTATATCTCACTAATGTATATTCAGTATAAATCACTAATGACTGGATAATAATGTATATTCAGTATAAATCACTAATGACTGGATAACGTAATGTGTGGGTAACATAAATCACTAACGTATGGATAACATCATAACAGCCACGAGGTGGTTAATATCAATCTGGCATCAAAACCGGAGTGGTATCTTGGCAAGTCACCATCAGGAAAGGTCCCTCTTCTTGAAAACGACGGAGTTCTCCTACCGGAGTCCATGGTTATTTCAGAGTAAGTCACTTATGTTATTTCAGAGCAAGTCAGTAAGTCCATCATATCCGTACAATCATATTATCACTCGGTGATATCATCATTCATTTTGTTGTATTAACCTATCATTATTATATAATCAGTACATCATTAATCATCAGTATATCATTATTTCAGGTACTTGGATGAGACATGCAGTGGTCGCAAGCTCCTTCCTCAAGACCCGTACAAAAAAGCTCTAGACAAAGTAAGACATTTCTATTTTGTAAAAAAAAAAAATAAATAAAAAAGGAATAGTATAGTACTCACACGATAATCATCCAAATAACAATTCATCCTCTGCTAATCTTTCGCAGGTCTTTCTCGAGTCGTTTGTTTTCTCCCCCATTTTCAAGGTGTATTTTAATAAAGAGCAGTATGCTGAAGGATTTGACGCATTCTGGTCGAATGCAGCAGTCGTCGAAGACGAACTTAAGAAAAGGGGCATGAAATTTCTTGGAGGTTCGTAGCATTTTATCGAAATGTTGTGTTTATCGAAATGGCATGAAATTTCTTGGAGGTTCGTACCATTTTATCGAAAC